AAAAAAAAAAAAAAAAACTCGATTTACTATATTTTAACCAAAAATTAAAACGGATATTGATGTTCTTAATTCAATTATTTAACTAAAAAAGTTACATCAACACTTTCATATTTTTCATTCTAAAAATGTAAAACTAGTTTTCCAAAGCTTTTCCTTGATTATATATAGTACGAGATGACGTGTTTATGAATTTAGGCGCGAAATCAGTGGACGTGGACTTGAAACAGCAAAAGGCCACGGTGTACGGCTACGTGGACGCAAAGAAAGTGCTGTCGGCCGCCAAGTCGACGGGCAAAAAAGTCGAGCCGTGGCCTTATGTCCCCTACACGATGGTCGCTCACCCTTACGTGGCAGGCGTTTACGACAAGAAGGCCCCGCCCAATTTAGTGCGGGCCACAAACGACCCGGAGATCGACCCGGTCGAGGAGCAATATACCCTCATGTTCAATGATGAGAATCCAAATGCATGCTCTATCATGTAGAAACTCTTTTTTTTTTCTTTTTTAAAAAAAAATATATTTTGTGACAAAAAGATTGTGAAGTGCTTGAGCCTGGAATGTGTAGCTAATTATTTCTCGTTGTTTTTTGTATTTCTTTTACTTGTTGTGATATATAATGCATGATGTGCACTGTGTTTCATTTGCGGATATCTTGATAGATGATGTAAATAAAGTTATACTACCTCCTATTTTTAATATATGCCGTTTTGAGAAGTTGCACACTAATTAAAAATATTTTTTCTTTTGTCAACAATAACATTATTTAATGAAGATAGAGATGAATGTTTTGAGAAAAAGTGAAGAGTAAATATGAAAAGACGTATATATTTATTAGCTAAATGAGGGTAATAATGGAAAAATATGTACAAAAGATCCAAAACGACATTTATTTAGTCAATAGTTGATAAACCTAAAATGACATTTTTTTTTTTTTGTTTGGTACAGTAAAGGAGGCCGAAGCCTTAAGCTAATACTCGTCGGGGATAAGAAACCCCTAAAACATCGTGCTCAAGCCAAATTCCCAACTCCCGGGGGGGAGTAGATATACGCTGTAGTCCAATTGGTTGTGATGCCGCCACTCCGGCAAGGTGATCGGCCGCAAAATTTGCCTCCCTATGCACATGGTGCACTCTCACTGTCCACTCCCTATCTATCATGTCGCGAATTGCCTTGATCAGCGAGCCATGGGGCCCATTTGCTCATTCTTGGTTTCGGATCATTGTCACCACACATAGGCTATCGACCTCGGCACTCACATGTCTATGTCCCAATTCCCACGCTAATTTTAGTCCTTGAAAAAGCCCCCAGAGTTCGGCACCGGTAATGGTACATTGTCCGATATTCATCACGAACCCCTCAATCCACCGTCCCATTTCGTCTCTGATCAAACCTCCTGCGCTCCCCAGCCCGGTGTGATAGTCGAAGGCACCATCACTGTTGACTTTAATCCATCCTACATCTGGAGGAGCCACTCCAACCTTAGCGTAATCTGCTACTGCCCGGGAATAGCTATCCGCTAGCCTCAGAACCTCAGATCTCCTCGTCTCTACCGTTGGGATTTTATTCTCAAAGATCCTCTCGTTGCGCCATTGCCATATTTTCCAAACCGCAATCGAAAACTTACAGCTCCATCCCACAAGCTCTCTACCTTGTCGCACCAAGAGATTCTTCCGCAGCCAAAGCTTAAGAGGGTGTAGGAAAAATCTTCCATCGTGGTCAGGCGGCAGCAACTGCTTCCAAAGCACTGTGGTAAAAGGGCAGTCCCTTAGCACATGAATAACGGTCTCACAGTTCCCACAGAAATCACAATTTGTAGAGCCAGCTAAATGTCGCCTCATGCGTTCGGCATTAGTGAGAATTTTCTCTTTAGCTACCAGCCATAAGCAAGTACGAGCTCTTTGAGGTGCCGGAGCTTGCCAGATAATATTCCATAAGGCATGGTCGGGGTCGCTGTCCGTTCGGGATAGGGCCTGATACGCAGATTTTGTGGAGAACTTGCCATCACCGGAAAAGCCCCAAATAATTCGATCCTCACCAGCTTCACTACTCGGAGGGAGGATGCCTGCAATGTGTAGAATTATGGACGAGGGAAGAATCCCATGAAAGCAGGTCCATTTCCACTTCCCATCGTCGTCCACAAAGTCCGCCACTTTGGAGTGAATATTTCCGATGTGCACAGGCTGAGGTACATACCTTATCAATGGACCGTTAGCACCGAGCCACGAGTCGAGCCAAAATCGGGTCGTTTCGCCGTTACCAAGAACCCATCGCACCCCACTAATCACCTTGGGCCAGACCTTACTTAGTGCTTGAAATAAGCCAGATCCCCGCTTCATAGGAAACGATTCCATAATCTGCGAGACATTGAAGCTGTATTTCGCCGTTAGTACCTTCACCCAAAGGGGCTCCGAATTCGTTAGTAATTCCCAGCCTAATTTCATAAGCAAGGCCGAATTCATTTGTCGAAGATCTTTCACTCCCAGCCCGCCCGCGGGTTTAGGCATACATACCTCCTTCCAAACAACAAGGTGTATTTTCCTCCGACCATCCGTCCCGCCCCACACGAAAGCTCAACTTTTACGCTCCAGCCCATCTGTAATTGAGCCCGGAATCATATATGTCTGCATTGAATAATAAGGTAGCGTGCTTAAGACTGACTTAGTGAGGGTCACTCTCCCGGCGAGAGATAAGGACTTCATTCGCCTGCCGGCTAATCGTGCTTCCGACTTTTCCAATATATGCGAAAACATGTCTCTGGTCACACGTCCATGAACAACTGGCATACCTAGATATTTTCCCAAATTGGCCGTTAGTTTGAAATCCAGCAGATCCGCTATACGGCTTTGCTCCCGGGCCACCACGTTTTTAGAAAAATAAACCTGAGTCTTCGACGAACTCACCTTAAGCCCCGACCTAGTGCAAAAACTCTCCAGCACTTGCTTCACAATTCTAACCTGGTCATCCGAGGCCTCAAGGAAAAGGAGTAGATCATCGGCAAACATTAAGAAAGGCACGCTTACAGCCCCTCTTCCTACCGAAATTGGTCGCCACTCGCATGTATCAACAGATTTGCAAATACTCTGTGCTAGTCTCTCCATACAAAGCACAAATAGGTAAGGAGAGATGGGGTCACCTTGTCTTACCCCTCTATTCGGGCAGAATTCTTCGCCAATCGTCCCATTCCACAACAAATTCATCGAGGTTGAGGTGACACAAGCCATCACTGCTCGAATGAACTTTTCCGGATATCCGGCCAGATGTAACGTTTCCTCAACAAAGTCCCACCGAAGGAAGTCGTAGGCCTTCTCGAGGTCTACCTTAATAACCATGAACCCTTTGCCTCCTCGCTTTACTCGCATAGAATGGATTAATTCTTGTGCGACAATGATATTATCTGTGATCTTTCGGCCCGGAACGAAGCTGGCCTGTGCTGGGTGGACCAATACGGACAGAGTATTCTTCATTCGATTCACCAATGTTTTGGTGAACAACTTGTATATCACATTGAGCAGGCTGATAGGCTGGAATTGTCTGATTGTGGACACATGCTCCACTTTAGGAATTAGGACCAGCAAAGTGCGATTCACTCCGGTTGGGACGACTCCTTCAGTTCACATCTTTTTGATAAAGGATCGAACCGCCGGGCCCACGGTCTCCCAATTTCTTTGGAAGAACAGCGCATGTAAACCATCCATGCCTGGCGCTTTCAGAGGACCCATGTTATGAAGCGCTGCAAAAATTTCGTCGTCCGTAATCGTCCCTTCCAAAGAGCGCATAAGGTCAGGGTCGCATCTTGGGAAAAGGTTAGTCGGGACGTCGTGAGGCGCTCGGTCCGGGGCAGCACTGTAAATGCTCTTGAAAAAATTTGTAGCTAATAGACAAAGGGAATTCTGATCCGAAATTAGGTTTCCTTCATCATCCGTCAATTCGGTAATTTTACTTTTCCTCCTTCGATGCTTGATTTGCCTGTGGTAGTAGGACGTATTCCTGTCACCGAGGTATGACCAATCCCTCGTAGCTTTCTGTATCAACAATAATTCCTCTTGTCTGATGACATCATCGAGCTCGGTGCGAAGTTGTTTCTCCAAGCTAACCAGATGGTCCCGAAAATAGAAACGTCGACTTCTTTGTATTCCTCCAATTCGGGCCAGCAATTTTTTTTTACGACGGAATATATTCCCAAAAACTCGGAAGTTCCATTCCTTTGCTGCCGTAATAAACTTGTCTGCCGCCTCTTCGTAGCAGTTGGAGGGTTGCCACGCGTTGTGCAGCATATCATTAAAGTTGGGTGGAGCATCCATGCAGCCAAGAACCGAAAGGGTTTTGCTGCATTTGTGCTTTGGCTAATCCGGCCGAAGCTCAGCAAAAGCGGTGAGTGGTCGGAATGGACCCTTGGGAGGAGACGGGTCCTGGCCCTTTCGAAAGTATCTAGCCAGGGAAGGTTTGCAACGAACCGATCAAGCTTTTCGGCCACCCTCCCGTTTCGTGTGTCCCGGGTCCACGTGAATAGGTGTCCGTCCGTGGGTACCTCTTGAAGGCTACTATTGAGAAGCCAGTCCGCGAAGTCTTGGCTAATATTGCAGTAATTAGGCGAGCCCCCTATTTTTTCCGAACGACGAAGAAGACAATTGAAGTCTCCTCCAATAATCCAAGGTTCCAAAATTCTAGTCGCCAGCCTCTCCAGCGCAGGCCACATCTTACGAACCGTTGCGATGGGACTAGCATAAACAAATGACACCAAGCAGCTGATATCATTCTTGGTCACACGAGCATGTACGTACTGGCGGGAATAATCCAGTACATCTAGCGTCACCACGTCATTCCACAATATCCAAATTCCTCCCGAAAAGCCTCGGGCTTCAATGCGGAACGAGTTCTCAAATTTACTATAACGCATAAAATTTTCGGCGTTCTTACCACTAATACGAGGTTCAAAAACGGCCACAACATCAGGCGAGTATTGTTGGATTAGGGTAGGGAAAGCTCCCCGGAACCCAGGCGAGACTGCACCTTGGACATTCCATGTGACTATATTCATTAGAAACTGATGAGTGATGGTTGGCACTTCGACCATGATCAGATATCCTGGGCCTGCATGTCTGAGCACACTTCCATGGAAACTCGTTCTTTCGAGAGCTCTTGGGGGTCCTCCTGCCGATTCGTATCCTCCGGCCATGGTTCTTGTCGTCTGATGTTTTGTTCGTTCTCCAACATTGTTGCATCGCTAATAGAGTCGGCGAGTGCCGTAGGTTGTGGGTTGGTAGTTAGAGGCGGGTGAACAGGGTGGTCATGCTCTTCTGCCACAATGAGTGCTCTGTGTTTGGTCGGATTTAATCCTGTGCCCACGATAATGCTTCGAGTTTGTCTCTGCGTGTGGATCTGGCCAGTAGGCCCAACGCTCGCCTGTTCAGCTTGACTAGATATGACCGACCCGCTGCTCTTTCTATTGGGTTTATTTTGGTTAAAGTTCAGTGTTTCTGTTG